AGGCAGTCCTTCGTGTCTCCCCATATCTCTTCCCCCAATCCCTTTTTCCCTTCCCTTTCTCTCTCATCCTCTATCTCCTGCCTTTGTCTCTCATTCCCTGCCCTTTGTCTCCCCGTGTCAAAAATATATCCTTTGTGCTGAGAACTTGGTTTTGGGGTGTCTTGTGCCAATACCAGTCCCCCACTTCCTGGCTCTGTATGTTGGCTCTTCCCAGTGTACCCTGGAGTAAATTTTGTCTCCTCAGACACTTCAGTTCCTTTTCAACCCCTAATAGAGCGCCACAGTTGTAAAACAGGATTCCAATGAGGTTACAGATGACTTTGCTCAACATGGAAAGGAAAATCTATTGGATCTGTCTTGCCTTGGGCAAACAGTTCCAGGAAGGAGAGAAAACAGAAGAGATGTGTGGGCTGGGTAATGGCCACAACAATTTCCTCATTCCCAAGCCCCGACCCTGCCCTTATAAAGGGTCCCAGCCTGCTTTCCCCCCATCAGTCTCCTCAACTTCCCATAAAAGAGAGCATGCCCCTTGTGTGTATGCTAATAAACACAGTTCAGCCAGTGGTCAGATCCTGGCCACCTTCCCTCCTGTTGTGTGACAAGACTTTTCCTGGGGAGACGCACCACAAATGTCTACTCACCCCAAATTGGGAGCCCATGACAGATCAAAGTGTGGATTCCACCAAAGTTCAACTTGGTGAACCATGAGTTTTATTGGGGTAACTTACAGGTATATTACTTACAGGAGCAGCAATGAATGACTCAAACACTGATGTATCACAAAAGCCCACCCCAGCATGGGTGATAGTTTACAAAAGATGGGAACCTGGAGCACACTGCACAGCTCAATAGGTTGGAGTGTCCTTTCCCAATGACTCAGTTGGCCTAAGCCTCTTCTAGGCGCTGGTCTGGTCTCAGTCTTCTTTGCTGCTTAGCTCACTCTTCTGAGAGTGACTCACAGCATTTATTGCTTACTCTGCAGGGAGGTGTCTAGTGAAACTGCCTGATTTTAGGGACTTCCTGAAGCTATTTTCAGTGGTTTACTTTCCTTCTCAAGGAGCTTCCCTGAAAGATAGAATGTTTCCATTTCAGAGGAAACTGCAATATGCCATCTCCTGCATAACTTCAGTCACATTATAAACCAGAGGATAGCACCAGATTTGAGAAAAGACACAACCAGGAGCATTGAAAAGCAGATGGATGCCAACATCGTTAAGATAAATGTCTCCTTAATGAGACTTGATTAGAGAGCTAATAAAAATAAAAGAACTGCAAAACAAACAAACAAACAAACAAACAAAAACTAAAAAGAGAGCCTATATAAGCCCTGTACCGGTTCAGTTTGGGGCTGTCCTTTTTCCACACTGGCAGAGGCAGCCACTATCCTGGATTGTGTTGGTAAGACTTTCTTTCACCAGAGGGGAGCCAAGCAGAGATGTCACAGTGTGGATCAGAGCAGGAACAGAGCGGAACTGTAACCTGTTGGCTGGTGGGGAGGGGAGCATCTTTCCCTTGCTGGAGCAGGGCTGTAACATTTCTCCAGAGCACAGCAGAGCAAAGCTGTAACAACCTCCCTGGGGGAAATCCTCCCTTGCTGGAGCAGAGCTGACACTTGCATCAGGGAACCCTTGCCCATAGAAAGGACTGTAGCTTTGCTGGGGAAACTGTCCTGCACCTGAACACAGCTTCACTAACGCTTCTGTTGGGACACCTTTCCCATCCAAGCTCTAGGCATTCCTTGTTTTCTGACTGCCAGGATCCCTTTCCTTTCAAGGCTGTAATACTAACACTTCCATTGCTGATCCTACTTGGTTTCTGGACCCTAACCCAAAGGCAGCTCTTCCTTCTTCCCCACCTCGCTCCTCCTGGCAGCTGACAAACGGATAGTGTGTCTGCTCCTGCGGCTTCCTTCAAACTTCAACAGACCTGTCCGTTTCCTTCTAAACCAATTGTTAAATTCTTTCACTAAGAAGATTAAAGATTCACAGAAAGTAGCCCTAATCCTCCATAACACAAACTTTTAAAACTGTTTACTCATGGGAATATGTGAGGAAGAGTCCAGAGACCAAAAGCAAAGCAGACTGGTTCCAGAATCACCAGTTTAGTTTAGTCAACTAAACCTAGTCCTCCTTACCCCAGGGCAAAATGGTGGAAATTTTAAGAATAGTAACATTCTAAGAGAATATATATATATATATATATATATATAATTTTGGGAACTATTTGGGAAATTTCTTAACCTCTAAATTACTTTAATTTTCAATAAATGAAAATAAAGGCATAAATGTAAAATTCTGTTGAAGAGCTGATGAAACCCATTCCTAGGGTGATCATCTATCATGTGAGCCAAGGGGGTGGGAAGGCAGGATTTTCCCAACCCTCTGGAAGTTCTGCTCTAAGCACACAGTTTTGAGTTGCTGCCCGCTGGGGTGAGCTTTTTGGTGACAGTAATTTTTGTGCCTATGAATGACCCCAACAAACTCACGGGTTCACCAAGTCAGATTTGGGTGGAACTTCGTTTCATTCTTGCTGGCTTACCCAGGGTGAATGTTTGGTTATTTCTCCCTTTGTCACAGGGCAGAGAGAACAGGGGAGGGAGGAAGTAGGGGGAGAGAGAGGAGGGAGGATAGGAAGAATTTCCTTTGCACACGTTTTGTACGTGTTAACTTAGCATATTGGTAGCTAACTTCCAAGTATTAGCAGGCGGTAGTTGTGATGCAGTTATCCTGAAGTCTGGCAGCTCACATGCAGAATTTCAGCGCCGTATTTCATGCACACACACACACACACACACACACACACGCTTTAAACATGACTGTTTACTTTTAAGCAGTCTGGAGTAATAGTTATCTTCAGCTAGACTGAAGGGCACTTGTCTCCTAAAGTACTGATAAATAAAACGGAAGTGCCTGCTGCTTTTGTGGGATCCAGGTGGCAACCCATCAGGTTGACAGCAAGTACCAAGGGTGTGTAACAGCTGGGTCACTCACCTGAGAACACTTCAAAGCACCTGTCACAAGGAGGTAACCATCCTATACTTGGGACTATATATGTGTGTGTATGTATATGTATGTATGTGTATATATACAATATATAAATAAATATATGTCTTGCGGAAACAAGACAACAGATTCCTTTGCTTCTTCCTTCCCTTCTGTTGTTTAAAGGTCAGTCCTGGCTACCCAGAGAAACTTGCCAAGTTTGTAACCCACATTTGCCATTTGGCCAGGTCCAACAGTTTCCAGCCATTGTTTCAAAAGAAAGAAACAGTACACCATAGTAGCTTTGAGATTTTTTTGTTTTGTTTTGTTTTCCCAGACAAAAACATCTGCCCAGGATTTGGATTCTCTGATACTGCAGCTAACTTTTTAGGGTTGAGATTCATCCCAATGACCTGTTTTTGTTGCTGGTTTTAAGACTTGACCTCCCTAAGTAGCTCAGTCTGACCTTGAACTCAAGCAACCTAACCTTTGGAGTACCTGGGAGTACACCTGTGCTTTACAGCCCTGGGTTCCACGCTCCGCATTTTGAGGAAAAGGGAAAATGAAAGAGGTAGAACAAAGAACAGAAAGGGCAGTGTGTAGGTGGGTAGGGGGCTCTGTGCTCAGGATCACTCAGGACTCTGCTAGTGCAGACACAGGTGGAGAAAGGAAACTCCCAATGGTTTGAAGTCTCCGCCAACGCAGTGATGGCCAGGTAGGATTCTGACGGCTTCTCTGAACTACCTTGAAACACCCACCTTCTTCAAAAAGCTTATTTTACTAGCAAAAGGGAGACTCTAGCTTTTTTAAAAAAATTGTTATCTTACATATATGAGTGGTTGACTGCATGTATGCCTGTATGCTATGCGCAACGAGGTCTGAAGAAGGCACTGGATCCATCCACTAGAAGCAGAGTTGCAGATGGTTGTGAGCCACCATGTAGGTGCTGGGAACCAAATAAAGGTCCTCTGCAAGAGCAACCAGGGCCCTTAAGCACCGGGCTACCTCTCCAGCTCCAAGGGCTCCTTACCACTTTAACAGCAGTAGTATCCAGACAGATGAAAACAAAATCATTCCTTTGTCTCTGAAATAAAAACCGAATTTGTGCAAAACATTAAAGGAAGAGCCATTTCAGCTTCCTTTTTAGGTGATGTATTCAAACGCAGGAGCTACCACGTCATCTCAGGGTTAGAATTATCTTATCCTTGCCTTGACAGGAGAGCACAGTCACTGCGCAGACAAGGCACCAGTTCTCAGGAATGATTAGCAAGCAGGGGGAAAAAAAAATCCAAGCCTTTCTCCATGGTACCCGAACACCAACACTACCCCTTTCTGAACTCTGTGCTCAGTTAGAGGGTGTTGTGATCTGCCATGCCCAAAGGAGCCACCTGCATTCTTCTAACTACAGTTTGTGCTACTTTCTTATTTAGGGAAATTGTGTAATTTGATTAAACACAAACAAAGAGAACTCACACAGACGGTAGAAGACTGTCGTCATGCTAACAGTAAGAGCAGCCGTCTTGTTACAGATCTCACTTCTGTCATGCTTCCTCGTGACTCATAACAGAGTCTCCCCTGACTCTAGGAGGTCAGGACGCTGCAGCCTGACAATCATTACCACTAGTGGGCACAGAAGTAGAACATACTAGAATACCTACAGACGGGGTTCCCACTAGTGTTAACTCCTTTCACACCTCCCCAACACTCCCTGCCACACTTATTAGCATGTCCTTGGAAACAAACAGAGAAGCTCACTTTAAATAATCAAGTATTCCAAGTATTCAAGTGAATAGGTTTTATTAAATGCATACTAATATCTTTCTCTAGTATGTGAGTATACATAATAAATTAAAATGCATATTTATTAAATATAAGTAGATATAATACCAGAACATGATTATTCCAGATGAGAAATCAAAATAAACCCACTTTTAAAGTATCTTTTGGTCACTCCAAATTGATACTGTTCATAAAAAAATACACCAATTTTCCCTGGGGAAAAAATTAATTCCATAGCAATGAAGTTAAGGGACATGTTTTATTTCATAGCTTTTTTTGCAAGCAAAATTGCTGTTACAAAATGAGTTCAATGATACAGGGGCTGCTGTCCACCCAAGCAAAGCAAACCTCACGTTTATACGAATGCACTTTGCATCACATTCTTACAGTAGAGACGGCTGATAACCCAGGGCACGTCTGGCTGCGTCTAAAGCAACGGAACAAGGATGCTAGGAGGTGCTTGCACACCACGGGACCCACAGCTGCTTGAAGCAATCTCCTGGGATTCTCCGTTGGTTACGGCTTGAAGAACTGTGTGTTGAAGTGTTTTTCCTTTTGCTTTCCTTCTAATTTACAGTTAAAGCATCTCAAAAGAAAGATTTCCCTGCTATGTCTGTCAGATGTTCAGAATTTTCATAGAAACAAGAAGTGTCATGAGGTATCCCTTAATGTCAGCTATGTAGCGCTGTGGTTGTCGGAGAGGATGGAGACTTACCTGTCGGTACAGTAACTGCCTTTAGTGTGTGTGTCTACACGTGACAGTGCAGGAACATTATCAGTTCATGTTAAATTCTTTCTTCCTCATCACATATGATGTGACTTTTACCCCCAGAAAATCTGACCAAAAAGTGATACAGATCAAATAAAAAGACAAATACACAAATAAGGCCATCTGCAGAATTTAAAACTCGCCTCCTGCAATATTTCACAGTAATCTCTACATCATATTTTACATCATTCACTTAAATAATAAATGCTCAGGGGAGGGCTTGTTGGCGCCCGGTGCACTATCTCTTTGAAGACTTGTCTAGTCTGCTGGCAGGTGACTTCCTCTGGGGTGTGGGGATCTTAGACGGCTTGCCTGTGGACGGCCGAGAACCTGCTCGGGGCACAGGTCTGTGTGTCTGTGGGACAGTCTCCACGTCTGAGCACACAGACTGGATCTCCGAAATGTCAAAGTCTGATGCGTCACTGCCTCGGCGGCTGCTGGCCCTGCTGCCAGCTTTGCTTCCAGCTCTGCTTCCAGGGCGGCTTGGAGTCTTCCTGGATTCTGAGGAGAGAGGAGACAGAGGAGCCATGTTTAATCTCAACATGCTTGTCTAGCGCTCAGTATTCACATGCAAACCCTTTGGTCTCGTGGCTTCTCGTTATCACTCAAGGGCAGGTAGCCTCATCCTGAGCAAAGGTTCAAGAGCAACATCTAGACTGGCAGTGTCCGTTACAGGTAGACACAAAGAACACCCCTTTGTGTTGTTGGAGGGCTGAGCCTGGCTTGTCTGAGGTGTCCACAGACCCTCAGGTATATGTCTTGTCTAAGGGAATGTGACTTAAATCATGTGAGAAGTGTCCCTGATGCTGAGCTCAGAGCTTGGTAGCGCTGGAGTGTCACTAAATTCATTAGTCTTTGGACTAATTCATTAGCCCTGATGGAAGGGCCAGTAACTGTTACCTGGCACAGCCCCATGCGCTCCCTGAGTGGCAAGAGGTTCCCAGAGCGAGGGGTGCAGTGCTGAGCTATGTTTACGCCCCGGGTCCTTTGGTGCTGTCCAAAAAGATTCCTAGTCACCCTGCTAGGAGTCATTTACCCTTCTTTATTGGAGGATTACGGCTTCATTTCACGTCAAAAGAATACAACACTGTCAAAAAATTCCCTTTCAAAAGAGGAAGGGAGGGAACTTTAAGTCTGAGGTCATTGTTCAAGAAAGAAATGGCCACACTCACCGGCAAGCTGTGTTCGGACTCTGGCAGCTGCTGCTGTTATCAAGGCTCTGTCCTCCCCGGAGTGGAAGCCTTTCCCTGATAGATACCCCGGGAGTCGCAGCTTGCTTCCCTGGATTGGCGTTCCCTGTGTGCGACCAGTGCAGAGACCACGTGAGACTTTGCCCATGTTTCCCGATATTCCACTGACATACTTTACTCATGGCTGGACATCTATGCACGTCCTCTTAGGAGGTAGACATGCTTCCGTTAACCGAGGCGTGTGGCTCTCACTTGCTTTCCTCCTCCAGTGTTTTGTTATGACTTACATAAAGGAAACCTCCTAAAGAAAACGGCTTCGTGATGAGAAAGGAAACGCAAAGCCGAAGTCTCCCACAGAACACAAAAGCCATGGTGAGGAAAACAAGGCAGACTGAGCGGTGGGGATGTTAGTATCTCAGACTGTCAGTGTTACAGTGCTAGACAGATGACCCCAGGATGGTGGCTGTGCAGGGAACAGAGAGCTGCAACTGGGCCTGAATGCTCCTCTGCCTTCCATGTCCTCGGAAACACGAGGCAGATGTAAACAGAGGCGGCCCGATGAGAGCAGGAAAAGACACCCGGTAATAAGACAGCTCGGAAAAGCTTAAAAAGGAAGTGTGATCGGCTAACTCCACACTGAATGTGTCCACGTCAGGGCCTATCACGTGTTGTTTCATTCTTCGTGGTACTGGCTCAACTGTACAAAACTTACAGGCCATGCTTTCGGGATACTTGTTTTAAACCCTGAGGAGTCACAACATGCAGGGCGGTTTCTCTGCAGCTAAAAATACCATCTCTAGAGTATAAGGGTTTCGTATTTGTCAAGGGGCACAGAGCCCAGGAGCCACAGAGAAAGCATAGCTATAAAAATGATGACTACATTTTGAAAACAATCTCCACACTGAGTCTAAAATTCTTAATAAAGTATATGCAGAACTTTTGATACTGATCTTATCATTTGATATTGCATTTATTGGAGTTAGTATTTGATTCCTATCCTTTGTCTTCCTGTGCATTCTACACACATACCCAAGTGCGAGTAACATTCTTTTTAAAACAGGCAGACCTCAGACTCTCCTTTCCTTCCCACTCTGAGTGCTGGGATGCACTGCCTACATGAGCTCCAGCATAGCACTTTGTTTGTTTTGTTTTGCAAGGCAGGGTTTCTCTGCGTAGCCCTAGCTATCCTGGAACTCGCTCTATAAGACCAGGCTGGCCTCGAACTCAGAGATCCACCTGCCTCTGCCTCTGGGATTAAAGGCGTGCACCACCACCATCTGACTCCAGCACATTACTGATGTATGACTTATGCATGGAAACACTTTCAACCTGCTTTTATATATTAGCCAGAGTTAGACCTCACAATCGCCTCACCACCCAAGATCTGACAAGGTGGATCTAGTGAAATTCCTCACTTAGAAAGAATCTAAACTGCCCCGGGAGCCACTGATGATGATGATTGGAGTTATCATGGAGCGTTACAGAAGCCAGAGTCCTATGAGTGACAAGAGCCCTACACTCTGACCGTTGTGACTGGACTCTCTCTCTCTCTCTCTCTCTCTCTCTCTCTCACACACACACACACACACACACACACACACTTCAACCAGTGTACTTAGGCTTTATTAGGTGTGTGTGCATGCACACGTGAGTGCATGTGTGCTGAGGCCACAGGCAGATGTTGGGCACCTTCCTCTACTGCTTTCTGCTTCTGAGACAGGATTTCTCACCAATTCTCTAGCTATATACCCCCGTACCCCACTTTTAGGTGAGTTCTGGGGATCTGAACTCAGGGTTCATGTTTGCACGGTGGGCATTTACCAATTGAATCCTTTCTTTCCCCAGCCCCAAATGCCTAATGGGGCATTTGCTACTTTCTTTTTTTTGTTTGTTTTTTGGTTTTTCGAGACAGGGTTTCTCCAAAGCTTTGGAACTAGCTCTTGTACACCAGGCTGTCTTCAAATTCATAGAGATCCGCCTGCCTCTGCCTTCCGAGTGCTGGGATTAAAGGTGTGCACCACCACCGACTGGCCTACTTTTTTTTTTTTTTTTTAATGTGAACATAGAAATTTTAAACCTGTCATTTGAGGTCCTTTAAAAGCTTCTCAGTTTTTACATAATAGATTCATAACAGCTAACAGACATTTCCAGATGTAATCTATGATGTTAGTATTTCCCACCCGAAGGGAACAACCGGGAGTGCAGGACCAAGGGGAATGAAGAGGACAGACAATGTTAGAAGGGAGTCTGTGTTTGTCTCAATTCTTCCACTCGGCCATGCAGTGACCGAAACTGAGAACAGAAGGCAAGAAGCTTGTCTCTGCTCACCAGTTGTCAGTAACAGTCATAAAAACCACAAGCTCCAAAAAAGTACCACATTTCTTTTGTACACAGTTATTTTATACAAGGGCCTTGGCTTTCAAATTATATCTAACCATTAAGCAAAAAAAAAAAAGTCCCTTCTTTCAAAGAAAAGAAGTTTAGGGACCACTCCTCCATTATGTGGTTTTAATCAAGGATGTGAAATAGTGTCTGTATTGATCAATTCACAGAAGTTTCTTTCAAAAGTAGATGGTTGATTTTTAATTGAATGTAGACAATCTAATATGTGAGTTAATCTTGGCAAATATTATCTTAAATGTTCTAAATAGCTTCTCCCTGTACACCAGGTCATTGTTACGGTATGCTCACATAATATTCGCTTCTAAAATATAATACAGACACCTTTTGAAGATGACAGCTGGCTGTCAATATTCCCACGCACATCCCTCTGATGCCTGCACCAGGAACTGAGAACTATGTCGTTCCTGGCCAGCGTGAACGAGCAGAAGTGAATGCCAGAGACGGTCAGAGGCCCCATCCATGGTGAACGCTTACTAAAATTCCTTAACTAATTCTGTAAATGCTGCCGATGACACTGTTCCTCATTCTCATTCAAGGGAACATGCTAAACTTCTCTCTCAAATTATACCTACGGGCAAAAGCATTTCACCAACATTAAAGTAAACTTTCATAGGCTTGAATATACATTCTGTGTTTTACTCGTCTAAATGATACACGGAGACTTAAGTATGAACGGGAACCAAAACCCACAGAAGGTGTCCAGCCTGACGGTGTGAACAGTCTTTTCTGACAGCCTCTCGTTCGCATGCCCCGAGGACTGTTTTACAGATGGCGGCAAGAGGACGGAGTACTGTTAAAAGCACACACATTAAGGTGGTGGTGGCAGTGTTAGTAGGTGGCGGTGTCAATTAGAGGAGGCGGTTAGGACCGGGATCTGGGGCCTTACGGTACCTCTGCTGACGACACGGGAAAGTCTGAGCCCTCGGCTGCTTTACAAGGAGTTGACATTTTGCTGTTTGTCAACCATGGTTTACCGTAATTGCGTGTTAAAGGGTGGAGAATCTGCGTGGAACAATGGCAAATCAAATGTAAAGGACAGTAGATCAAAAACAAACTCACAGGGAAGAGGCATTCATGGGAGACTCATGTTACACAGGCCATGAAAACAAGGGTGGAGAGAGCGGATGGCAAATCATACATACCAAAACAAAACAAAACAAAACAAAAAAACAAAAAAACCAACCCAAAACAAAAACACAACAAAAAATGAAACTTCTAAACAGAAAACTCAACCTGGAAGCTGACAAAGCCCCTAGACAGGTAACCCTATAGTATAGACACCTGCTTCAAGGGTCACTGGGCAGAACATATTAAAAAAACAATAGGTGGGAAGAGATCTAAATGGTTGAGGCTGGTCCAACAAATTCCAGAGAGATCCAACACCCAACAGTATGCTCGGGACAGCGAGTGCATTGGGAGAGGAGAGGCCACAGCCCAGAGTCCTACCTTGGGTGTGCTGGCGGCAGCAGGCACCTGTGGGGAGGCTGCCTGGCCAGCGTGACTGGACACAGAAGTGGATCTGTTGGGCGAAGCCCCTCGGGATGAAGGCCGTGATCTGCGGCCTCGTGGCCGGAAGGCAGCCATCCCCTGACTGGCACCGTCTGCTAGGATGAACTTCTCACGCAGCTCCATGTTGGTCCGTCCTTTAGCTGGATTCACCCACGCAGCAGAAGGCACCGAAAAGAAGAGAATGCATTCAGTCTTTGCAGGGGTGGGGGCACCTGACACCAAAGAGCACGCTGAAAACTTCGAGGACATCTTTTTGCCATGCCAACTCCAACTTAGCATAACAAGAAGTTAAATGCATTCCTTCACAATGCATTCCTCTCGGGTACAAGGGAGCGTGGAGATGGGCAAAGGTGCGCTTACTCTAACACTAGACACCAGCAAGAATAACCCGTGTAAAACAAAGTCAGCATGACAATGGGAAGCTCATGCCACTGTTAATCCACCAGCTACTGATGCCCACACGCTTGGTCACCCTTACACCACACCAAATAGACAAGTCAGGAAGGCAGGGCTGTGTCTTTTTACATGTATTGCTGAGGTCTGGAGAATGCCAGTATTTAACAATTACACAAAATCGGAGGTGGCTTGTTAGTCATGAAAGATAGCATTAAACACTTCCAGAACTTTCACTGAAGTGAGGGCAGCTAGTATTTTAATTTCAGGCCTTTAAAAAAAAAAATGAACCATTTTACCAACATGCAGAACAAACACCAGACCCAGGAATCCACGAGGCAATCAGTGATGGAGCACTCATACAAACACATATGCACATGGAGAACACTCCACAAGGACCCGATGGGCAACGTGTTGGCATGTGCTTGATCACTTGGGCAACACTTGCGACAAACTACGAGCGTGTCGCATTTTCAGAATTTCTAATGTCAGATTAGAAGCCCCGGCTCGCTGAATGGGAGTTAAGCCATACACGTGAATGAAGCATATTGTGTTAAAACGAATCATGAAAGCAAGAATGTAAAAGAAGGAAAGAGAAAAGTGAGAGCGAGAGCCAAAGAGAGGGGTTGCCAACCTATAGTAGGCTGAGTAGTAGTAATTGAAGAGTTTGATTCCGAACGTAACATTTTACTCCCATGATGATGAACTAGAAAAAATGACACAGGATACCAGTCACATTAGAGGATACTGTTAGCAGAGGAAACACAGTACAGCAGCTGGGTATGCAGAGAGCTCAGATGCAGCCTTCAGCACACACTCAGGACACAAGTCGCACCAGGAGAAGAAGCCCTACAAGGTCCGACTGCACCAGGAGAAGCAGCTGCAAAGCTCGGCCAGGCGTGTTAGCTTGTCCTCCGTGATCCCGCAGGACAGGACACATCTGCACCGCCATTTCCTAGGGACGGCTGTATTTACCTTGGCCCATGCTCTTTTCAGAGCGCACTCACGTACCACAAACGGACGTTTTGCTTAACAACGGACTTTTTAATGGAGCTGAGAAACTCCTATCACCTGCCTGATGTAGCAGCCATCTTGCGGGTGTGGTGTGGCAACACCACTGCCGTGTTTGTGGTGACGCTGGTATGACCAAGCCTACTGCAACACCAGCCAGACAAAACCGTACCCCAGCTCCAGAGAGGACACAAGGCTCCCATCGCGCTAACGATGACGGCTCCTCGTTTATGTATTTACCATACTGTATTTGCTATTAGAGCATGCCGTTTCAGACCGCCAGCCGCCTATGCAGCTTATGATGACTGCATTTCTTGGCCGCATAATTTTATCTTGTGCTCCAGTCAATCTCACCTCGTTTTATTCACCAGGCCTTTGGAGCAACAGGTACTATACCGCCCACCCCCAACTCCCACACACCCTTGGTGTGTAGGGCACTAACCCATTTAGGTTGGTATTAAGTGCACGTCGTGTCTGCACTGAAATGAAAACGTTTCTCTAAACACATCCCTAGTGTAAGCAAGCAGGACTGACAGGACAGGAGAGCTCTACCCCTCTTTAAGCTGCATCTTTAGTTAACAAAGAGCAGGGCCACTATGTGGCTGTGTAACAGTTCACTCTGGACTTGATGGACACGCCTGCTGACTCGGATACACCTGTACCCAGGTGCCAGCACTGAAAGGAAGGGTTCCTGCTTGACCTTCTACTTGGGAGCCTAACGGGCAAAGCTGGAACAGACGCTTTGAAAGGACTAGAATAAGTTCACAGACTAAGGCAAATCATCAACCTTAATGTTTTCTGGTTTAAAACTAACAAATGCTTACTGAATAGATGGCACCTAATTATAAACTGTAATCAAATATCCATATGATGAATTAAGAATCGAGCAACTGTAGGACATGAAAGTAGGAATATCAGGGCTGGTGGGAGGGCTCAGTGGTTAACAGAATTTACTGCTTTTGTAAAGGGCCCTTGTTTGGTATCAGGACCCATGGGTGGTTCACAACCACCTGTAACGCCAGCTCTGGAGGATCTGTGGACACTGGCACATACATACACACACTGCACATGCATGCACACACACATATAATTAAAAACAATAGTACACTCTTCAAAAAGAGATACTAGGAATATTAGAACCTATGCTAAAACCCCTGGGCTCAGAGCCGGTGAAAGCTACAAAATAATATTTACAGTTATTCAACTTCAGTGAGGGTTTGCTGTTGTTTTTATGTATTGCTTTCCCCACCTCTCCCCTCATTTAAAAAAACTTGACTTTTAGACTTTTACTCTCTGTCATTTTCAGACATTACCATGTGAAGAAGTCTGTCCTGGTGAGTGGAAGTGTTCATTTTGAGAACTAGACAGGAGGTCTTACACAGAAAATCTAGACTGTACTTCCTACCTACCTGTATCAAATTCATCCCATTAGTTGGAAAAAAAAAAAAAGAAGAAAGGATATATTTTATAGACCAGTCTGAAACAACGGCCGTGGGACTCAAGCTGGGCCCAGTCTGCCGTCAATGAGGAACACTGGACACTGCCAAGCTCTCACGGCGCTGACGCCCCGTTCGTCTCCTTACCCCTGCATGGATCGTTTTTCACTAAGAACTCATCCAGAGCCATCCATCCACCTCCAACACGAACCATCACCGTACTCCGCAGGATCCGAACCAGCCGCAGCTGCTGTGAGTCTCCAAACTAGGCAGCGAAGAGAGAAAGGACCTCTAATTGTCAGTACCAGTGACAAGCGAGAGGATGGCGTGAAGCTTGCAGTGGCGTAAGCAACCAACTCAATTGCTTGCTTAGTTCACAGTGATTAATTAGTGAAATCTCAAAAGGGGTTTGTCATGATCTACATTAGACTGCTGCATGCCGATTTAGCTCAAAGGAAACAGTTGGGGGAAGAAAGATCACAAAGGTTAATCAAGTATAATGTTGAAGCTTCATTCTAAAGCTACAAATCATGTTTCTTTCTTGTAATAGACACAGCACTCACAAGGCAGGAACTGAGAATGTCTCTAGACGTTAAGCGCAGCCATGGACAGAAGCACAAGTCCACTTGCCCAGGACTTACACAAAAGGAAGTGTATGGACTTCAGCAAACTGATTTGGGAACACTACCTCTTAATTTAAAACTACTTTCCTTCGATAGCTGTGGGAAAAATCTTAAGCGCCTTTGTTTTCCCTAGGGAAGTTCCGACTGGGGGATAAAGTAATAAATGCTTGTGTCTAATAAAAGTTTCATACTAAAATTTCTGGGTCTCTAATGGTCTGGTAAATCTATTAGCTAGCGGTTGGGTTAACATGCCACTTTATATATTACCGTAGTCTTAAAACAGGTACTGACAAATTACTAATGACACAGTTTCCAAATCTAAGAGGGTTTTACTCGAAGCTTTCGGTGCCATTGGTGCTTCCTTCAGTGAACCATCAATCACTTGGGAGCACACAGACTCTCCGAGTCTTGAACAAACGCGAGATCACAGGTAGCTCTGGTTATGGGCTTACTTGTTTTGAAAGGCTGATGAGTTTGGACCTGGAAACCATTTCTCAGAGGCTCATGTCCGACTGTGAAAACTACCATACTGAATCTCCAGCTTATCAGCTTAGTGAGTGACAGAAAACAAGCAGTTCGTCAGGGGCCAACAGCTTCCTAGCAGAACTGGCCGTGATGGTTCCCTGCCGTACTATGGTAAGTAGAAACCCCTGGTACTTTCCCATGGTCCTCAATGCTGGATTTTAGGGTGTGAACCCTGACAGAGCGCCGGCCAGTCTTAGATGGCCACATAAGCACACCAGCAGGAACTCCGTGCTTCCCATTACACCTCTAGTTAGCGCTTCCTAAATTCGATTTTAAAACCCTGAAACTTAAGCAGCCCTATGGGTGAACGGCCTCTGATATGCAAATTGAAAAATTAAAACTTGTCTTTGTGTTGTTAGAGACAAAAATTGGTGCTGCGATTGGTAAGCAAAGGGAAAAGAGGGGTGAAGAAAATTACTTTTAAGGAACCAGATAATGGGCTCAGGTGAATCTTGTTCAAGACCAGGTTCAAAATCAGACTTAAGGAAACAACTAAAAATGCTTCCTAAAATGGTATTTTGGTTCTATTAAATGTGGTAATTTCAGATTTTACTTTAACAAGGTATTCTCCAGCCAACTAACAGTGTCTCTAGGATTCCTCTAATTTTCTCAAGGCCAAACCATGAGACAAGAAAACCAGACTCATACTGCTCTTTGAATTTTCAGCACATAAAATCTTTTACGTTAAGAATCTTTTCTTTTCTCTGAAAATAAAAGATATTACCCTACTTGTTGACTCAGAAAATACCAAGCATAAAAAAGTAACATTTTTATCTGTTATAACAAATAGGTATGCTACCCTGATTTTATCCTTATATATTGTGTGTTACGTATTAAATTATCAGTCTATCCCATATATATATATGGGATAGACTGATAATTTGCATGGGAGATATATGTATGTACACACATACATACATATATATATATATAAATAAAACTAGTATATGTCAATTAAAATATTTCTTGGGAAAATTCTATTCCAAGTAATGGTGCCATTTAACTCTAAATTTTGTTGCAGCAAATTGAAAGTACGAGATAACTTGCAACTTTCAAGACACAGTTTGGCCAGAGATTGAGCCAGGTCGTCTGAATGTATAATACAGTTTACAGTTTAATATTTTTATGGGACTCCTGGGAGTGTCAATGAGTGTGTCTCTGACTCCTGTGCCTGTTCGCGAGGCTCTTTTCTGTTGATCTGCAGTGTCCAACTTCAGTGTGATAGCTTTTGCTTCATGCTGTGTCATATTTTGCCGTTACCTCTTAGAAAGCCTGCTCTTTTCTAGTGAGAGACAGAAAGGTGAAAAAAGTGAGAGTGGATCTGGAGGGGAGGGGAGGTGGAGAGGAACTGGGAGGAGAAGGGGTGGGAACTGTAATCAGGATACAATGTATGAGAAAAGACTCTATTCTTAATAAAAGGGGGGAAAGATGCCATGTGACTTGCAGTGGAGCAGCGATCGCTACCTAACACAGTAAGCTCCTGACTGAAGAGTGCAGACACAAACTTCTTGATCATGTGTCCATTGAAATGCAATTTCTCCTGTGTGTAGTTTAAAATTCCCAGGCACGCCACAGCACTACTAAGCAGTTCATGTTGACTTAGATGTCAATGGAAACATCTGGCTACGACAGCACCAAATATGACCTGGCACGCACCACAAAGCAGTAACTCAGAACAAGTCAGCTACTGGGAGCACACGTCTCACTTGTGGTGAGGCCCCATGAAGACCTTTTGGTACTTCTTGCCATGGTCACTGCTCAGTGACATATGTCCTGAACACTCAGACACAGCGATGTATGGAGAATCAAGTTTGTGTTCCAGCGACTGCCCACATGATGTATGGAGAATCAAGTTTGTGTTCCAGCGACTGCCCGCATAAGAATTTGTTAGCGGTATCAGCAACAATGGGACTTGACCGCTGTGTTTACGTCACTGGAGCCAGCTAATCAGATAGCTTCATTATCTGGTTCACTTAAGAGTAATCTCCTCATTGGACACAAAGCAGTCAAGGGTCCTGGGTCAAGGACTCTGATAGCGCTGACAGGAACAGCACACCAACCAACACTGTAGTAGCTAGCAAGACAGCATGGAAGGACTGGCCATGGCAAGCTTGGATGGCTATGAGTTAAAGATTAAAAAAAAAAAATCATTGGGAACTTGAGATTCCACTGGTTTATACCTGATTTCCCAGGAAGAACTGATAAAATAAAAATGAAAAATGGGAGAAAGACAAAATTAGTTCAACAGGAAACTTCCTATATGGCTCGAAAATTTTCTCTCTTTCTCTCTCTCTCTCTCTCTCTCTCTCTCTCTCTCTCTCTCTCACACACACACACACACACAGT